TGGGGGGATACAGGATGAAGTTCCGTGTTTTCTTGTTGACTCTCAGGCTCCGGGGGAGGCCTGTATTCCTTGGATCAAGACCCCTTTCCTCCATCTACAAGGTCAGTAACAGTGATAGGGTCTTCCATGCTGCAAATCACTCCTTTTTCTACAGCAGCTCTTTCACTTCAACACTGGATAATCTATCATTAAGCCACGTTCCTAATTCCACAGGCAAAACCATGTTATATAACACATCCCCAAATTCCAGGGGTTAGCATGTAGAATCCTGAACTTGTGTGCAGAAAGGTGTGGGGCATATGCTTCCTTGCACCTTTGGTTTCCCCTCAACCAATTTCTGATCATCACCTTCAGAGCCCTCCTCCTAACAGCTCCACCACCCTAAACTGTTACGTGAAGCCTTCTGCTTTGTTTTCCTTTCCATCCTACACAACCTCTTTTCCCAGGGTTCTCAAGGGCAAACTACAGCTTGAGAGGCCCTGGTGTCTCCACCCAAAGCTCTCTCTCTTGGTTTCTGTTCTCTTGCAGCCAGCTTTTAAAACTTCAGAGTCCAAACTGCCTAGAATTGAAAGCCTCCAAGCTGAAGGCAACCATAGGAGCCATCTCACCCCTAGACACCACTCATCTTTGAGTCTTCCCTTTGCCAGTCTCTTCAAGTAGATGAGACCTAGCTTTTATCCAGCTTTCGCTGGACAGTCACAGTGAATTTTTGCTGGGTGATGACCATTGCTAGAACTAGTTACCACTGTATCCCCACCCCTTCTCTGCATGAATGGAATCTGTTAGTGCATGTTGGGTGTTTTGGACCAAGTGTTTTTCAAGTGTACGTTATCTGATGCTAAGGAGCCACACAGGACAGGATGACGCTGTTCCTGATAAACAAAGCCACTACTCAGAAACTTGGGCCTTGTCTCAGGTGGATATCTTCACAGAAGGGACAAGTGAGACAGAATATGTGGTAGCCACAGGGCCAGATTTCAACAGACAGCTAACTGTCCCTCAGAGGGGCCTTCTAATTTCTTGCTACAGACTTGGCTGTCCAGAACAGAGACATCTGCAAGCTCCTACCTGGAAATTTGAGAGATGTGTCCCATGGTGATTTAAATCACCTCAAGTCACCCCATTTATCTTTCTTTATTCTTTCTGTGCAGGTTGGAGACCTGCTGGGATGCAAACAACTATTTTAGATCATGAATTAACTTAAAGTTAAAAGCTGTACCTGGAACAACAGGAACCCAGGTCTCCGACCACTTTCCGAAGCATAACCCTTCACCAGCTCTGGACAATATGCAATGATAATGTTATACAAGACACAGGTTTCTGTCTTGTTTCAGCCATTGTTATCCTGGGATTTTCTTGCTTGCAGTTAGAGCCAATATAATCAGAACAGTTCGAACCCATGGTTCTCAAAATAGAGGTGTAGTCTGCAGAGTTTCTGTGTTTGCTATTGTTTTAAACCATTTGTGTGGTCAAAACATTTTCCCTGCTACATTAAGGCATTATTCCTTTTTCACTAGTAAAAGCAAAGGTGTGATTGAAACTACAGAAGGGAATGGCAGAATGCTTTGAGCCCAGGAATTTGAGCTCAACCTGGGAAACTCAACAGACAGAAGGAGGAGGGAGAATACAGGAGGGAGGGAAAGAATAAGGAGGGTGGTCAGGGGAGCAGTGTGGATCAAGGCAGCCCTGATCCAAGCAGGCCTAAGCAGACACTGCATTCTTTGTTGCCATGTGCTTACAGTTTGGACTCACACAGTCAAACAAAAGGTCGCTAATATATATTCCCTCCTTCCTTTTGCAACCAGGTATCTGTGTGACGTTTTCTCTTCCCCAAGCCAAACAACATCCAACAGATAAAACAGATGAGAATCCAGCTGCCTCTAGCAAGTCAGAGGTCAAAGACATTTGAAAAAACTATAACTCTCCCATTCTCCTCACTAGCTTTGAAAAATAACCTTCATAAAATACGTATCATTTACATAAACATGAAGTTGGTTTGTAGTTATACTAAACTAATAAATTATTTTTTATAATCTGTTAGTTGCATCTCCAACACAGTAAAGTATTTATATAAGCCTCATACATAAAAGCCATTTGGAGAACCTCAAATGTTTGGAGAATAAAGACATCTTGAAAACGAGAGGCTTAAAATCTTTGGTTTGTGATACTGAATTTAAAACACAATCACAGAGCTGTTCTCTTATGAAAAATGCACGCGCTGTTAAGCCCTGAAGTGGAGAAATTAACACCACGTTCAGTAAAGGGGTCTGGGGAATGGGGTTGGGGACGGGCAAAGGTTCAAAAGTGCAGATCAACAGCCTTGGTGTGAGGCATCAGGGACAAAGGACAGCAGGTACAAGTGGCCTGCTAGCCATCGGCTCCAACATACATGCGCTGCGAACCAAGAAGTATTTCTTTGCTTCAAGAAAGGGTCTCGCTTGTAGCCACGGCTGGCTTGAAACTAGATGTGTTGACCATGCTGGTCTTGAACTCTCAGAGAGCTCTCCTCAGAGCATCCTGGGTACTATGATTAAAAGGTGCACCACCATGCCCGGCCCTTGAAGTTGATTTTTAAATACGGAATGCGTGTACATTCCAAACTCCTAATTAAGCATTTGATCATCTGTAATAAAAACAGCAGCCCAGAGAACTGCCTCCCAGAAGCAACGTGTGAAAAGGTCAGAGATAACAGAGTGTGACACAGGAAATGAGACAGTCTTCAGATGGATACAGAATGCTCCAAAGAGCACTCAGCACTTCAGTACCAACAGGGAAAATCAGAGTGGCGTGGGTGGCTGTTGACCTACACAGCCACTGAGCACCCAGGAAGGCTCTGTTCAGAGCACAGGAGACAGTGAGAAGGGCAAACGTCTCTTCTCCAGAGCTGAGAGTTACAGCCTGCTAATCTTTTCTTATGGGCCCTTTCTCTGAGTCAATGCAGAAGAACAGTCAAAAAGTTAGTGAAATAAACTACACTAACTTTCATTGATTCTCCTCCCAAGAAAGAATGGAGAAGAAAAGAGATGTTTGACTGACATGTTTTTGTTTTGTTTTGATCACTTGAGACCAGAGAAATTTATTAAGCAAGACACCAAAATGACTGCCTTTGAGCAGGAATCGAGAGACAGCAGTGAGCTGAGCCAGGATGGTGTTTTGTTGGTGTTTGTTTTTATTGAGCTATATAGTTTTCTCCGCTCCCCTCCCTTCCTCCCTCTCCCCTTCTACCTTTTCCCATGATCTCCACACTCCAAATTTACTCAGACTTTGTTTTTTTCTACTTCCATGAAGATTAGATCCACATATGTCTCTTTTAGGGTCCTCTTTGTTGTCTAGGTTCTCTGGGGTTGTGAACTGTAGGCTGGTTTTTTTTCTTTGCTTTATGTCTAAAAGTCACTTAATAAAAATAGATCCATATCTATCGCCATGCACAAAACTCAAATCCACATGGATCAAAGACCTCAACATAAAACCAACCACACTGAACCTCATAGAAGAGAAAGTGGGAAGTACACTTGAATGCATTGGTACAGGAGACCACTTCCTAAATATAACCCCAGCAGCACAGACACTGAGAGAAACAAGAAGTGGGACCTCCTGAAACTGAGAAGCTTCTGTAAAGTAAAGGACAGTCAACAAGACAAAATGGCAGCCTACAGAATGGGAAAAGATCTTCACCAACCCCACATCAGACAGAGGGCTGTTCTCCAAAATATGCAAAGAATTCAAGAAATGGGTCATCCAAAGGACAAATAATCCAATAGAAATGGGGTACAGACCTAAACAGAACTCACAACAGAGGAATCTAAAATGGCTGAAAGACACTTAAGGAAATGTTCACATTTCAGAGAAATGCAAATCAAAACAACTTCTCTGAGATTCCATTTTACACTTGTAAAATGGATCAAAAACACTGATGAAAGTTTATGCTAGTCAAGAGCACATGAAAACCCCAGTTACTTACAGATTATCTACAGACTTTGTGTATCCCAAGATCACTTCTCCAGGCTTCTGGGTCACTATCTTCTATCAGTTTAATATCCAATGCGTATTCATCCTATCATTTGTGTGTTAATATTTAGGGTTAATCCAGACATTCACCTAGTGAGACAAAGAGGGAAACATACACAGGGCACCTCAAGATGAAATATTATTTCATATGCTGAGATGTCACACCAGTTTCCGGAAATGTAGCACATTCTTTTCTGCACAGACAGACATCTGTACTGGGCATGCTCACTTCCTCCAGTCGTCCCTGGAAACCCCATTTATGATCACTAGCAATTTCTGATCCTGTGCTTTTGTTTCATTTATCAATCAAAAGATAAAAAAAAACTAAGTGTGCCTTTATTTTTATGTTCTCTTCCCCACCCTTGCTCCCTGAGGAATAAGCTTCACGAAGTCAGAGACACCAAGCCTGATGCGGTGGTACAGGCCTGTAATCCCAGCACTCAAAAGCAGAGATGGGAGAGTTGCCCAAGTTTGATATCAGCAGGGTGAGACCTGGTGTCAAGAAAACAAAAGGAAAAAAACAAAAACACCTCCCAAACAAACAACAGCCATTGGTGTTTTGGGCACTCCCTAGCCCACCGTATATAACCAAACACACAGAATTTACCAAGTACACCTTGAGGTTTCAAATAAGAATTGCTCAGTTACACATGAGAAAAGGATTTAAAAAAAAAAATCTTCGTTAATTTGTAGCTAGTTCAAGTCCACTGACAAGTAGCAGTATGCCTTCACCACACCTCACTTTACTCAGTTTAAAGCAGGGGGACCGCACCAACAGCAATGTGGTAACTAACTGTGGTGGCGTGTGTGAACACTGCAGTGTGAACACGGCAGCACACAGCAATGAGGCTGATAAAAAGGGGAGGGGACAGAGCTGTTACCATCATCAACACATGAGAGTCCAAAACCTGTTTCTTATCATTTCCAAATAACTCATGATAAGAATGAGAAGCCACTTTCTAAGTCCACACAATCTTCCATTGTCCTTGTTAGCTGCTGGGAAAGGGACAGTTTCTTCTAGGAGTGACTACAGCCAGGCCCCGATAAGTCACCCACACTAAGTGGAAGCCACACAGCCAAGAATATTTGGCCGCTCAGTTTGGCCCTGGTGGGGCTGGGGCTGGGGCTCAAAGCTGGGTAGAAGAAGAGTCTAGAAAGAGTTTGCATGGGGAGTGTGAAGATGACAAAATGCACTGGATGAAATCTGCAAAGAACTAATAAATAAAATTTAAAACCGTTCTGCTGCTTTCACATTGACCTGCCTGGAGAGAAAGCATAGCGTGACCTGAGCAGGGCTGAGCAGTCTGCATGGCTCAGGCTGTAGGAACCTGGCCCTCTGATTTAACAGTCACCCCCGGCTGTCTTATGGGGTCATTCCTCTCTCATACTCCACAGGATTCAATGTCAATGGGGACTTTTAGGGTGTGTGTATGTTAGTGTGTGTGTGTGTGTGTGTGTGTGTGTGTGTGTGTGTGTGTGCACGCACATGTGTGTAGGTTGTATAGGTGTGTGTGTGTGTGTGTGTGTGTGTGTCAGTGTGTGTATGTGTGTGTGTAAAACTGCTCCAAGTAGTGTCTCGGTGTGTCTGTCACCTCATAACAAACCTGCATTTATTAATCCTGTTTCCTTCAGTGAGAGACTAACCCAGGCCCTCTGAGATCAAGAAAACCAAATTTTAAAATCAAAACCACATTCCAAATGTCTTAAAAGATATTTTTTTTGTTCAATTCTTTCGTAAAAACATTGGTCACTATTTAACATACAGAGGCAACAAAATGCACCCATTTTACATGCATCAACAAGTCAGTAAGTTATAACACAGGAACAACACAGATTCTGAACCAACAATCCTACAGCTCGTGAGACAGTTCGCCGGAGCTGCGGCGCTGACAGAGCAGCCACGAGGAGACAGGGCGGTCCAGTTTCAGCTGATGCAGGTTCTCTGTGGTGAAAACTATGCAGGGGTCTTACGGAGTCACTGATTTAAAGGCAGCCATCTTCAGAAACCACACTGAGCAGAGGACCATGCGAGGTCACAGCGAGAGCTTGAGAAACGACGCCTCTGGTTGAAGACAAAGAGACTTGAATTTTGTTTGTCTGCTTTTGAAAACTAAGTATTTTAATGATTCAACACATTTTACTGATTAAATATGATTCAAATTTTTTTTACTGAAAATCTGAACGTCTTTCAATGTGAAAGTTACATCTTTCGTGTTTTGACAACTCAGATAACTGAAGATTTAACAAAACCGGCATAATTCTGTTCACAGAAATTCTGGTAGTAAGGACTGGAATATTTTTAAGAGAAGGAAAAAGGAAATCAATAATCAAATTCCTTTCTGAACTCCAAGAGAGGTTTCTGGAAATGGGATTTAATAAGAAGAAAAGTTAAGCACCACAATACAACACTAAAAAACAAAAAACAGGAAAGCTACCAATACACAGAGGAGAGACGGAAGCACTCACAGTTCATACAGAAAATGTAACAAGCATTCTAATCTGTCTATACGGAGGAGGGACACAAGCACTCACATGTTCACACAGCAAATGAAATAAGTGTTACATCCATTGATCTGGACTCCTCTTCCTGGTGTCCATGTGTGTGATACATGAAAAAGATACAAAAGGCAGACCTGTCTGAGATGGCAAGTTGTGTCATTCCAATCTGATCAAAGGAGAATGCTACTTGGGTGTATGAGAATTTGATGGTTTTTATACTGTCTATTTTTCCTTAAAAGTCTATGATAAATGGACAGCACTAAATCATCCCAAAGTATGGTAGAGACAGTATGTGACATGTATGAGACCGTATGTGACACGTATGAGACGGTATGTGACATGTACGAGACAGCATATGACATGTTTTCTTATGGAAAAGAAATCTCTAAGAAGAGCTCACAGTAATTACGTGCAAACAAAACCCCAAAATAAGATTTAAAAGGCACAGTCATGCTGCTTGTCTTTTCCATCTAGTTAGCAAACATGAATAACTTTAATTCCCCAAAGAATAAATTCTAACTTCAGTTTCTCTCTTCCGTATGTTTAATTATTCTGTCACATGTAACTTTTTAGCATGTGTAGATCACATGAGAAAAAACTTCAGGAATTCAAAAATTAAAACTTCGGATTCCCACATGATTTAGGTCAGACATACAAGCACACACACCAGCAGTTTTCACCAGCCATGTGCTATAATCACCACAAAAGAAAAATCTCCAAAACTGGGAGAAAGGCTCTCTCCTCATGTCATGATTGATAGGCTAGATAGCAAAATATGAAACACGTGTTATTTCTAAAAACTTCATCCAGAGGAAAAAAATCACAAAGCAAGATCTAATGAGATTAGGATTCTGAGCAAGGAATAATTAGACTCATTCCATTCTGATGAGACAATAACATTTTAGGAGGGAAATCCTTCCAAAGAAACAGAACTGGTCCTGGACCTTCGAAACACCTGAACTCTGCCACTTCCTCCATAAACCTCCTTAGAGTTTCCATTTTCTATTTCCCTTAAAAAGAAAAGGAAATCAGCATACTTTTCAAATGTCATCTTAAATTCTTTAGTTCACCCTAATTTCTTAATCCCCATTTTAAAGATGGTAAGTATCGGAGCACTGTCTTTCCCTCGCAAACCAAAACTCACTGAGCGATTATTCAAGGTTGGGAAATCAAAGGTAAAAAGTGGACTAAAAATAAGTCACTTGTTAGCATGTATGGTGTGTGTAAAAGGAAGGCCGAGAGTCGATCTTTCCGACTGGCCTCTGGCCCTTAAGACAATGTGGTTCAAAATGAAAAAGAACCGGATATACTTAAAACACTTAAAGTCTGTATTCATTTGGAACAGATGCGAAAGCTTCAGAAATGAGGGAAAGTCTATGATCGTAAATGTTTACTGTGAAACAGCACAGAAGCGACGCCTCCGGGCAGGGAGTCAAAATTTAAACGATGTTAAACATCTTACATAATTTGGAGAAACCCTAGCTTTGAATTATAACCATCAAGAAAAAAACATAAATAGGTATTTCCATGCATGTACATGTTACATAACAAATAAGCAAATCCCAAGTCAGTACAGTACAGTATCAATGACTAAAAGTTAAATAATATGTGGATACACAGAGAAAAGGAAAAGAGAACATGTTGACTGCCATTGATGAAAAGCATCTCAACAATTTACATAAAATGATATACTAAATGGTTTTTAAAAAGGTATCTTAAGAAGACCAAGCCACAATAAGTTAGTGTTTCCACAATACATGCTGAAGTACTTGATCCCGTATCTATGCACTGTCACTGTCCTCATCACTAAATGCTGTGACAGTATTTGTTAATGACTGAGGTACATTAGTTTACATCTTTTTATAGATATTCTAAGATGATTAATTTGTCGTTTCCAGTTTTTCGTCTTCTTCGCCGCCTCCAAAGAAAAACAAAGGGAACATTCCTAGAATGCAGCCAATCGTCACCCCAACAGCCTTGCCCTAAGGAAACAGAAGAGAATATTTCTTAAAGTTCCGTGTCCACACAAGAGGTCCCCTTGCATAAACACTGGTGACAACAGTCAATTGCCACACACTGAAACGCCACTGCAACTGTATTCCTGCTGATTATAGAAACCTAAGTACTAAACTACCAAACTCTCAACATGCCATTTTAAAGTTCAGAGGAATAAGGGAAAAACTTATCATGAATACAACATTAAAGAATATCCAAGTAGAAAACATTATTTTAATAGTTTGTGTATTTTAATGTCAGAAGACCAGAACACAAGAGGGGGAACATACCAACTATTCCCAGTATATACAAGGATTTGATATCCTTGTATGCAGTCCTTCAGTACTTAATCCCCTGAATGCTTAGCTATATGAAGATACAACCATTATAGAAACAATGTTGCACTCTGTCTCACTGGAAACCTACATTGTGAAAGTTTAAATTTTTCACTTCTATAAATAAGCCTAAACTTTGCATTTCTATGGTGACTATCAAATTTAGACACTTTAAAATTAAGTTTTCTTTTTAAATAAAAAATCTGTTTATTTTCAAGACAGGGTTTCTCTTTGTAGACCAAGCTGTAGGTTTTCTTTTTTAAAAAAATCATTTGTGTACATGTATGTCTTTAAGAGGACATTGGATACCCTGGAACTGGAGTTACAGGCAGCTGTGAGCCCTGAGCGCTTGGATCCTTAAGAGGAGTTCACACTCCTAACATCTGAGCTATCTCTCCAGCTCTTCAATTAAGTTTTCTTCTTTCATACAATCATTCATTGAGATTCTGTTGTGTACTAAACTCTTTGTGCTGGGTAATCCCGAGACAGGGACCAATTACACAGAGTTGGTCTCTCCTCCTGGAGCTCCACGTATGAACACAGAGAGACAAAACAAGTCCCATCTGGCATTACAAAAGCTGTGCAAACTATATAATCTGTATCAAGAAATTCAGGGGGAAATGTTCTGGATAGTGTTATGGAGTATCAGTAATAACTTTCAAGGTAAACATCAATGTTCTGACAACAGTGTATACAACACCCTTTCAATCTGTTACTACGGCATTTTGTTGTTTGCTATAGTGGTGGTGGTACAATTATATATATTATATTATACTATATTATAGTATATTATATTATATTAATTGTTAAATCTGCCAATCTCATTATGTAACTATTTTTTAAGGTACTATAGTTTCAGAGATATAACAAGAAGAAACTTGCTCTGTCCAGATATTAATAAAGTCAGTCCTCAATTCTTATTTTGATCTCATATTTTGACCATTTATGTTTCAACAGAGACTATTCATTTTGGCTCCGATTGCCCTAGGTTGTGACCTCTGCTAAGAGACCCCTGACTGGCCGCCAATTCTGTTAAAATGACTTTCACTATCACCCAGGGTGACCAAGGGTCCCCTCTTACTCCCTTTAGAAATGCTGGAGCAGGGTGATGCCTCCCTCCATTAATATTTCAATCCACTGCTATTGGATCTTTCCTCCCCTGTCAGTCCACAGAAAGGCTCAGAAATGAATGACTTCAGTACAATGCGGATCAGCTCCAGAATAATCAATGAAGAACAAAATCTTTGGGTGTTCAAGTCCTTAATTAATCAAGCAGGAATACATGAAAATAAAGGGATATCCCACTATTTTTCTGAGAACGTCCCAAGCCTGGGTAACTTTTCCTAGCAACTCCACTCAAATCAGTTACAGTCTAGAACTGCCACACTAACCACCGGATCCAGGCCCATGAGCCACATCACTTACCAGATGAGTGCTAACACGCGTCTGCCACATGTCAACTTGCTTTGGTGTGAGATCAGGAATTGAGAGGCCTAACCTGGAAGCCAAGGCCTCAACATAACCTGCAAGACTTCAAGAGAACAAAAGAATGAGGGAGTTTTAAGAGACACACAAACGTCTTCACACAGTAAAGACCGATCTCTACAAAGAGAAGCAGGGGTTTCTCCCGTGCTCCTCACTCCAGACAAAGCACAGAATTTTTACAGCTTCTGTTTTTATTCTATATAGATGACTCCGGTTTAAAGATCCTTTCAAATTCACATTTAATACACAGTGACTCAGGGCATTTATTCCCTATCATTATGTTTAAGAGACCGATCAAGGCATATAATTTTTTTTATAAATAATTAAAACTGCTACACTTACTTCAAACTCTAAGCAAAATACTTGAACACATGATTTAATCTAGTAACTATGATCAGAAAGTAACAGTTTTTAAAATTCATCAGACTAATAATGCACTTAAGAATGACAGCCTAGAACTTTTAGCTTAATCAGGGAGTCTAAGTTACTACCACTGTTGGGTATAATTTTGTTCTAAGTACTGTCAGAAGAAAAAAACTTGCCAATTACATATACTGACAGCCAGAAGATACATTCTGGCTTCAGAAGTCAAGTGTTGAAAGTATTCATCTAAGAACACATAAAATGTGATATTTGTGAAAGACACTAAAAATAGAAGAGAGGAAACAGTTCTCAAGTGTAAAAGTGCTTATAAAAGTGTTCACACCCGATTTAAAGCTAAATGGCTTTAAAATCTATTAGCTGATTCTAATACAACAGAAAGCTATACAGAAGTGGCAATATTGTCAATATTAAGCTTAAACTTTGAAAATGAAATATCAAAGACGTCGCATCAAGATAAGACTTATGTCAAAAATTCTTAAAATATAAAATCCCAATCATGGCCCTAAAGAAAAAAAAAACTTAAAGTTAGCTTTGGCCCCAAACTCAAGTATAGATGTCTAATATTGAGGGACAGATCACCTATAAAATTGTCGCTGCCCACTGTGAGCCAAAATAGAATCCTACTAGATCCAAACCCAAACCTCAAAATATACCACGTGAGTAGCCAAGAAAGGAAAACAATGTCAACGACAGAGCAAGAGAGAGATGTTTGTGCTAATATTTAATGCCAACTTCTCAGCTTTCCCAAGCCCAGGAAGCTGCCCAGGCCATCTGCCACCTGGAAGAAAGTGAGAAATAGGGCTTTTCGAAGCAGCCACCCTTCCCTGTGTTATCATGGTAAACATAAGCTTTGGAGGCTGAGGTGTGGCTCGGTGGTAGAGCACATCCTTAGCATGAATAAAACCCTATGATCAACCCCTTAACATCAGTGGGTGAGAGGGAAGGAGGGAGAAGGGAGGGAGGGAGAGCATTGCACATTATTTCCTTTGTAGGTCAGTATCCTCTAATTTCATCTTTGAGATTTTCCAGGTATAAAGAAGAGGGGGAAAGGACAGAGGTTTACTTTTAATGCTCTGTTCCATCCTGTTTGTATTTTTGTCATTTTAGGATCTAACATAGTGACATGGTTCTATCCATTCATTCTCAGAACCACTAATTCGGCTTGACTCATTGTCAACAACTATATTTGATTTCCACCACATATTTAGTATTACTAATTTAGAAATATTAAACTGAAATGTTTAGTTTTAGAACCCAAAGGAAAATAATTATCCTTTTAAAGGGCTTATTAATTAGAGGAGAATAAAGACGAGAACATATAACTACGTAACTGCAGAAACAAATTATGAATGGACTTACCCAAGTCCAGCTAAATCTGAAACAAGATTTCCCAAAGCAGCAGCTGGAAATTTGAAAAACACACAATGAATTGTCAAAGCAAAGCCGGCAGAGGTCACAGTATTACATCACGCGAGAAACACTGAGCTCTGTCTTCTGGAGTCACCATATTTCTCTGCTGTATCCACTCTGCTAGAAGCAGCTCAGGGATAGCTCTAGGTGTCAAGAGATTAAAAGAGAGCAGGATCCTAAAATTAGAATATCCTACCTCCATTAATAGAGTGTCTATGGAGTATAGGAGAAATCTTCTATTTTTACTTCAATATTACAATTTCATAGTTGTGTCTTTAGTGTGGTATTTGTTTTGGGGAATTTAGATATTGGAAGCTCAGGAGCAAAGCTGCATAAGCAACTCCAAATACAAGAAAGTAAAGGAAGGCAAATACTTCATTTAAACGTCCAATGGTAAGATTGAATTCCGAGAAAAACTTGCCTTCACACAGACAATTCAGTGGAGCAGTGTTAGCCACCACCTAACACAAACCAGTTACAATTCTCAGGAGAAACCTGCTATCTACAGAAAACTAGAACCAGAAGATTAGGATTAGAGATATCTAAACAAATCAACACCCCAATGAGCAAATGCATTTCAAATGAATTGTCTTCTAAACCTAACTTACTGACATTTCTAAACAACATGCAGACAATAGAATTTTAATATTTGCTATTATTAAATACCTGCCATTGTTGAAATTCCCAAAATAATTCCAATAGACAATTCAATTTGGGTTCCCTGAAAAGTAATTGGAAAAGAAGTTAAAGCTGGCATGGCTATCAAAGAATATCAATGTGCTAATAAAAACAGACTATGTAGTAATATCAACATGCTGCTGTAACATAATTACACACAAAAATATCCATAAATTGCACAATATATAAGGTGATTCATTTAATTCATATATATGAATTAAATATATATTTAATGTATATATAATATTTAATCTATGTATATTTAATGTGTATATATATATACATTCATGAAGAAATAACCAATAACATTTCGTTCATTAAACTTGATCTTCCCTCAAAATAAATAGCAACACATGTAATAATCAATTCTTCACTAAGAATCTAATTTCTACATTCTTAATTCTACTTTTCTATCACGGAGAAATATGCTTTAAAACTCCTTAAGCAAAAAGACTGACACATAGATGCTAAATTCTGAAGTATACTGTACTGTCATTTTCTCTATCAAGATTTGAAAGAGTGAATGATTTTCTAGGAAAACTGCCATTAGTAAGATTTTCCTCGCAGCCTTTAGCTCCTTAACCATTGGCAGTGGCACTAGGATTCCTGTGTTCAGGGCGAACAACACTTAGTCCGACACCTGCAGGAAGAATGAGGCCCACAGCATCTACTGGATTGATTTATTATAGGGAGTCAAAGGGTCCCACATTTATCCTTCCTCTTGAGGAAAGAAGAGGGCTCACATTTCCCACCCACTCTACAGAGGTGTAGCTGAACTGGCAGGATGCAGGGATCTCCTGGGCTGTCACACAGAGGAGGAGGCCCTAAGTCTATTTCGCTAATTCACTTCCAATCCTTCACAAAGGTAAGCTTAGTTTTCCAGAGCTCCCTAGAAGGCTAGCATTGAACATTTTAAAAAATTTCAAATCTTAACACTGAGGAAAACAAGCGTGTCTAATGTGTTACATACAAGTCCCGTTGCTCGGTCTGCAAGGGACGTAAGAGCTGGACGGCACTTCCCTCAAATCTCTTGTCCCTCCGCCTCCAGCTCCGCCCCCTGAAGACACAACTCTTGTTGAATATGACCAGACAGCCTGATGCACCATTCTCCCAGACATAAGAGCTACAAACTTCTAAAGGAGCTAAAGTAACGGATTTCTGAGGAAGATGGAAGGGACGTGAAAGGGCAGCACACGCAGGAGAAATTAACAAAGATGCGGATCTCTGTTATGTAAGTCCTTCTTATATAAATGCAAAGACGGCAGAGCAGCCCACAGCAGTGCTGTGCACAGGCCACACAGAAAACAATAAATGTGACAGCATCCTCAACAGCAATGAATCACTGTCAATGACCCAAGAAGAACCTCTTTAAAAATATGCATCTCAAAAACTACTTGTGTGAGCTGAAGATGTAGCTCTGTGAGTAGAGGGTGTCCGCTAGCATGCGCGAGCTTCCGAGCTTGAGCCCCATCATCGCCCACACTGAGAAACAAGTATCTGCGTGCTTTATCATCTGGTAAAATTTGGGGAGCTTAAAGGTTCTTCTAAGAGCATAAATTCAAAGACAATTCCACACTTCTTTACTTTGTTCTATATTTTAAAAAAATTGTTTTAATAGATGAGATGGAAATTACAAATAAATCTAACACTTCATTTATCACTTTAATTACACTTACGATTAATCTAGTCTAAAAATTTCTACCCTAAGTGAACTGTAAAAAAAAGCAATTCCCCCAATGACTAAAATAAAAATTGTACAAAGCAATTTAGTAATATAAAATTAACCTATATAACCTAAGGCTGAGTATTACTTGCCCTATTATAACTGATTCTACAGAAACTCGTTCTCGTGATCACCAAGTAGCAGCCAGGAATGCACATCTAAAAGGAAGGGGGAAGTACGTTTATAGCATGGCAGGGCAGAAGACTCAACTTGGTCCTGTCTATAAAGCCCACACCGGCTCCGCAGTGTGAAAAGATCACCTGGGCTTTAAAATGTGGAAAAGAACAAAAACACACAGGAGAAAACATACTGCTAGGACAGTCATGACCACTTGTTCCCTTCTCAGAGATTCTGCCATTGTATTATTTATCTATTCTAATGTCTGGGGTCAAATAAAAATTGGAAAAGGTCATCTCTCTGAAATAGAAATAGTTCCTGTTCAACTACAGGACCAGTCAGAACCATCACTCTTCATCTGGTGTTGAAGTCAGTGATTTAAAATATCTATTCGGTAACAACTTCATCCAAGGGAGTGCATCCCTGAAGATGGATTTCAGTGTAAACAGGTTATTGGTAATTTGGAGTTAAGATCTCAGGTCTGGAAAAACACTTTACTCTGAGCACTAAGGACGGGGCACAGACCTGTAGGACACAACCTAAGAGAGCTGAAGTCTCAGGAGTCTCCCACGAGCTCTGCTGGGTTTGGTCCAGTCCCATCGGTGCTCCGTCTGCACACAGACACCCACTGTGGCGTTTTATAAGACGACCGGTCTGATTAGCGCTCGCGGAAGCTATTAGCGACCATACTCCTCCCTCTCTTGACTGTGCCCACAGTGAACCACTCCACAACTGCCAACAGCAAGGGCAGTTTTCAGCACCTGCGTCTTGAAGCTGAGTCTTATCAAGGACGTTTACAAAAATGGTGGCTCAAGCACTAAAAGGTTGAGCGAAATAATGGGAGAGTGAAATATTTAGCACAGCGGTGCTCTCCATCGGACAACCTGCGCAGGGCACGCAATCAACTAAGGTTTAGAAACAGCATAAAGGAGCTTTTATTAGGTGTGCTTTCATTAATAACAGTAATTTAGCCAACTCAGTGTTAGTAGCCTGAGAAGAACAGTACAGTTTTAATTACTTAAATACTCTTTGGACTTTTTTTATATATGCAGATCAATTTTATTCTTATACGCATACTAGGAAAGCATTATAATCCTAAAAAATTGATTATTCTAGAATTATATTTTAGGGGCACTCACTTAATGTGCATCGGCCTTGAGAAGTCTGGACTTGCCACAGCATGCTAACAAAAAACCCTACAGAGGTGCCTGTGACCCCTAAGCTGTACACAGGCCAGAGTCACACTGCTGACAGTGGCCCCTGAACCTCTCCTAAATCAGGGAGCAGCTGGACCCTCTTAATCTGGATGGAAGGCTAGACAGGCCCTGCAGCAACTAAGCCATCTCAAATGAACTGACTTTAGAGACTCTAAAAAACACCTGCAGTCTATCAAATGACTAGGTAAATTACTTTTTAAAATCTCTATTTTATAACTAAATCTACTTATGTTCATTCATAGTACAGGTAAATTCTAAAACCCCCAAAGTAAACTCTTCCATCTCCCTCCCTTCCCTACCTTTCTCCCACCACCTTTCTGAGTAGTTTCTTCAACAGTAGTTAATAGAAAAATTTTAAAGTGAGGTAGAGTCTGTGAAGCTCACAATAGAGTCTCAGCATTCTAATTCAGAGAAGCATTTTCTCTTTCAAATGAATCTAAGTAAAATACACACACACACACACACACATATATATACCCTTTGGACTCTCAAACTGGTACCCAGAAAAAAAATAATTATACTTTTTTCTCTTTCAAGGATTTAGGTAACCTTCAATCTATTTACTGCTAATATCCAAGAAAGAGGACTGCATAAAGCATTCTAAAGGCATGCTTAAAAGTTAGTAATTGCCTTGACTGAACTATGAGAAAATCATTCTTTATATAAAACAGTAAATAAACACTGGGAAAGTCTTAAAATACCTGTGTTTTCATCACGAATTTGTTAGGGAAGTGTACCACATATTGGTGTCCACTAAAAGAGATGTCATTGATACAAGAAAGGCAAACCAGGCACTCCTGAGATTGCAGTGGTCACGGCAGAGGCGAACTCTTTATAACACTACACAATGCAGCAAAGGCAGAGGGTGTTGTGAAATGAATCTCAAGACATCTTTAGGTTAAATGTTGAGACTAAAGCCTTGTCTATGCCCCAAAACACCTACCAACATATTCTAGAATGAGAAAACTATATGTGATAACAAGTACCCGTATAACTAAAGAAACCAGAGATTTTTACATACATTTGCTCCTTAATAAAAAAATGTTAGAACAGAATTATATACAACATAAACATTTGTCTACATGCTTGGCTAAAAGTTCTATGATTAATATATATGATACTTTAAAAATTGAACTTGCTCACTATTAATTAACTTAATCAGTATAATAAATAAATTACTAGGAATATGTAGAACACACTAATTTCTTTATTAACTCAAAACAGAAGTGGTGAGAAGACTTACTGCAACAATCATAATTGCATTATCCAAAAAGCCAAACCCTATGAAAGGTATCGCATTGTGGAAGAATACTGAAAAACATCAAAACAAAGAAAAATATATTTTAAAATTTTGATAACTTTTAGAATGACCAAAACAGGCTGTGTAATTAAAGCTTCTAAGCAGATTTCATATCAATTACAGATCCTGCTGCTGTAAGTTTACTTATAGAAGCTAAACTGGGAGACACAACACAAACATGTAACACGTAAGAACAATTTAGGCCTTTATGTTTTCTTACCAGCAATGCATATACATACAGTTCATGAACAGTAAATTCGTAAGCACATGATGACCCCACTTAACCTGACTCACATCAGCCTACTTCTATCTTGTGTCTATCACAACAGTACTAATCTCTGTATCTATAATAATCACTTTTAAAATATCTAAACTCAAATTCCAGGGAAGTTATTTGACTGCTTTTACTTCCTAATCAACTTTTTTGTTTGCCTGTTTTTTTGTTTTTTGAGACAGGGTTTCACTGTGTAGCTTTGGAGCCTGTTCTGGAACTCGCTCTGTAGACCAGGCTGGCCTCAAACTCACAGAGATCCGCCTGCCTCTGCCTCCTGAGTGCTGGGATTAAAGATATGTGCCACTACCACCCGGCTCCTGGTCAACTTTTTAAAGGAATTTTAGGAAATGGTGATTACCTTCATCTGACACCTGTGGACAGGCAGTCCTTAACGTCTCAGGACCCACCAGGATTCCAATGCTACTGAAAACTGCAAGAATCGATATTTGCTCCTCTCCCTACCAAAGGCACCTCTCACCTCATCTATCTGGTACATAACCTGAAACCTGGATTATTAAAAGTCAAAGCAGGAAAACTGTGGGTTTGTTTTTTTATAATCTAACTTCATTTTTCAAATTTGTATCCTCAGCATACTGTACAGTGCTGAGTACATAGTGGATGCTCAAAAATAATTAAGTTGAGGACTACTAACCTGGAAAAGAAGCTAATTCTATATTTAGACTAGTGGAGGCATACTGTGAAACAGATTAAAGGCTGGGAACAGGAAAAAAAATATTTTATTTGATCATTACAACTTCCAAGGCATAATCAACATCAGCTCAACTGACAACTTCCTCAACAAACTGAGGATCGAGGAAACTGAGAAAAAAAAAATCTGATTTTTATACTATATTTAAAAACAGTCCTCCCTTAAGACAGTTGGTTATATTTGTTAGTGACTTCAGATTCTTTTTTTTCTTTTAATGCAATTAAATATACACTGTAACTGAAATATAATCCAGAAGTTATGAAAATATGATATTCTATGGTATGACTTCTATACCATCAGGGAAAACTAGTAGGCAGTAATTTAAATAATTAACACTTCTATCCACAACGTCTATCAAAGAAATACCATCTTTAAGCATAATAATAGGCAACATCCTGTGTAGATTATTACATATATTGATACTGCATGCAATAGATATAACCAATTATTTCAGGTCTCTGCCTGTCACAGTAACAATGCTCATGACAAAGAGTGGAATATCCCATTGTGATCGTTACTATGAAAGCTATCAAGATGGTAAAAGCCAAACATCATACTCATGAGTTGTGACTCAACTCCAGACCTCAGCCTTATTTCTCTGACTTTCCACCAACGTCCGTTGGGCGCCTACTGAACATTCAACTTGTTACAGTAAACAGCTTTCAAAACACACACACAACCCTATCTTCCAGCTACAACATAAACTTAATGGGCAAAAAAGTAGGCTCGAAATTTTGAAGTCACCCAAAGAAGCCCACACAGTGAAGGGAAACCTGTCTAGGTGTTCCTAGACACAGCCCTCTCCATGGTTTCTGAAACACAAATATGGCAAACAACCAAGAAATCAGCGAGATTACTTAGTATTTGAACAATACAATGACATCTCTAAAATTAGCCAGTTACAAATACCTTAAAATAAGGTGCTAATGGCATTAAGATTGCACTAGGAGCTTATTCTGGTAGAAGCCTGGTCAGTAAAGCTAAGGCATACTGCCATACTAATCAATTAATGAACTATGGAATAGGTCTTTATGTGTATATATTAACAAATTTGCTATATAAATAAAGAACTACTTTTAATTCAAAGGAGCAAAATAAAGTTTCTCAAAAAAAAATATGCACTGGGCACCCTGCTGGGAACTCGAGAGACAAAGCCATGAAACTTGGTTTCCACATCTCAGAGGATTTAGACATACAAACCTAACCACAGACACAGTTAATTTCAACATCACCTACAAAATGATAATAGTACTGTATGCAGTATCGGTACTGGGTTAGGAATCTGGGCTGGGAGAATCAGGAGTAATTACCTGGGAAGGGAGATCTTAAAAAATTCTTAAACTGTTTTGGTGTTTGAGGAAAAGTTACTAATTCCTAACATAAATTACATTCTACCTATGAGAGAAAAAAAAAAAAAGGAACGATCATTAGTTTTTTCCTAGTCATTTGAATTTGCCTTTCAGTGAAGAATGATCTCCTACTAATTTGCTATTTCTTCCATTCCCTTTGGCAAACACTATTCTATAGCTAAGCAGCTGTTAGCAAATCACATTTAATATTTAATTGCCTACTTAATTACCACCTACTCAAATTCACCACCACACTTTAAAAGATTCTCTTCTACAGTCTTCTAATAAGACCCTAAATTGTTTTACATCACTCCCATGTTATCCTGCAATACTCATTCTTACCATAACAGGAAAGACAGTAGAGCTCCTTAGTGAGGTTTCTTTCTCCTCAAGCAAACTCACCTACTTTCTTACAGCTAAAAACACTATCCAGAAACACTTTCTGCATCAGAGAACAGTTAGCCTGAATCTAAAATTAAGTTCTGCAGTTACCTAATTTAAATTTGGCCTAGGAAGTAAACATAATACACATTTTCCTGCAAATTAAGAAAACTTCTAACAAATTTCCTCTTATTACTAGATGATAAGAACATTTAAAAATATTAATTATCCCATAATATTGTGGTATATCTTCAAACAGGTTTAGAAAATACTCCTATATGAAAAAAAAAACAAAACAGGATAATCCAATCTACCAGAGAGGTTTTATTTACTGACTTTTGTGCTATTACAGGAAACAGTTCCTTCAGGTTCAAAACAGAGATGCGTATCAGTTCAACAATTATAGAGCCATTACCATATCTCAGCTGTCCTGGAGTGGGTGGTTGAGCTTCCAATTTCTCTAAAGGAGAAAAAAAGGTATGGAGCAAGAGTTAGTTACTATCGTACAGCAACAGACTTACAAAAAACAAAGATGTATTTGGGTTAGTAGATCAAAATTGTCCACTTTAAAGAATATTGGTTTGGAGTGAACTACAAGAGTAGGCGCTAAACAGCTTCAGCCGCACACCGTGGGTCACACGCAGGGGCCACATGCCATGGGTAACACACGGGGGCCACACGCAGGTGTCACATGCGGGGGGCTCTCTTTTATTTAGGTCATGGCATCACACACAGGGAACCCTGCATCTGTTACAATAGAATCACATTCCAGAAACAATACTTGTCTTTAAATGGAAACTCTGGATGACTTAACAAATATATACAAACCAGTACTGACAGCAGAAAAAAAAGACACACCGATATATTTATATTAGTTTGTTTATTTATTTAGAGACAGGCTCTTATTATACAATCCTAGCTGGCCTCGAATCCCCAGTCTTCCTGCCTCCATATTCCAAGTGCTGAAATACCAGCCCTGTGCCATCACAGCCACTTGGAAATTACATTTTAAAAGTGTCATTACAACACTGGTTTTACTGGATTGTATAATGTCCATTTAACAATACACTGAAATTTTGAATTTTTTAAAACTATACCACTAGAATAAGTAGTCTATACACTAAAACAACCAAAAAGGTTACTATTTAAGATAACAAGTAATAATATATTATTTATACTGTATGGCAGACACTTGATCTTTAGTCAAAAAGCCAAGAGGCAATATGTAATACATGAGAAAGTTTTTCCAAGTATTAACAAAAGTATAATGTCTCATTACATTTATAAGAATTTAGGTAAATGTAAGATAATAATTTAAATCAATTATTACAAAATGCAAATAGGCTAGTTCCTCAATCAGAACATCCCACCATCTGTGAAAATAGGAAAGGTCAACACTTTGCCTTCTCTTTCCTCCCCCAGCCAAGTAGAATGAGTTGTAGCACAGAGGAGAACCTGTACAGGTTTGTTTCCCAGAGGGCTCCTATGTTGTAAGCTCAGCTCCAGTGCAGCAGAGTTCAGAGGAGGGACTCTGGGAAGTGACTGGGTCACTGAGGCCCTGGCTTTATCAACAGATTCATCCTTTACGCAGTTGTGGGACTGTGGCATTGTTGGGAGGTGCTGGAAAGTAGGGCATGGGTCCTAACTGGAAGATATACCTGGAAAGATGCACCTTTGTGCCCAGCACCTTCCATCCCCTGCTTCCCAGCCACCATGGGGTGAGCAGCTTTGCTCCATGCCCCTCTGCCCTGATGATCTGTCTCACCATCACCCAAAAACAATGGAGTCAGCCAACCACGGGCTGAACCATCTGAAACTGTGAGCCAAGAGGAAGCTTTCCCTTAAGTTTTCCTTATATTTGGTCAAAGCAGCAAATAGCTGAATAACACAGTGGAGAAATATTTTCCAGCATATTCTGAGACCAGACTAATACTAAAACAAAATGCAATGAATAAAACCAAAACAGGGCGTTTCAAAACTAGAGATCTAGCTCAGGGATAGAGTGCTTGTGTATCAAGTATAAAATGTAGGCTCATTACTTGGGAGGCTCAATCTTGGAAACTAAAGGGAGGAAGAAAATTGAAAATTAAAGACCAACTTCCCTCATGAGCACAGTAATGTGTAGTAATACAAATACAAATAATTTAATATTAAGAAACTAACTTCTGTCAGGCAATGGTGGTGCACACCTTTAATCCCAACACTCATGAGGTAGAGGCAAGTGGATGTCTGTGAGTTTGAGGCCAGCCTGGTCTACAGAGTGAGTTCTGGGACAGCCAGAAACACTATCTCAGAAAAAGAAAGAAAGGGGGGGGGGACTGGAGAGGTGGCTGCTCTTTCCAATGGGTTCCATTCTCAGCACCCACTCAGTGACTCACAGTCACTAGCTCCAGTCCCCTCTTCTGACCTCTGCAAGAAATGCATAGACACAGCTCACAGACAAACATGCAGGCAAAAACACCATACACATAAAATAATACATCAAAACTAAATTTGATTTTAAAAACGTAAGAAAGAGTGAAGAATCCCAGTTCCCTAAGTGACCAAACGAACCAGAAAAACAGGACAGCTTATACAATGCTGTAACCACCTAAGGAATAGCTAACTTTATCCCTTGATGGTGGAGAAACTGCACCACATTAGAGTCCTCGTTGTGGAGCTGAGTCACTATTTGTCTATGGGATGTAAAGTTGAAAGGGGCTGCCGTACAAACCACCGGTGCCTCAGGATAGAACATTTTCCTCTCCTAGTTCAGAAATGAAAATCTGTTTAACCCAGATGCTTTTAAATTTGTTATATAAATATGTAAGCTTTATACTGTGTTCACGTAAAGAAAATGGCAAGTTAGATAAGAGGGGGACAGAGAGAAATAAATATAAAACAGAAAAAAAATGCATTTTTTAAAGGAAATAATTGGAGGGTTGGAGTCAATTAGACTTGTTTTTTAAAGCTTGGGAAGAAACCCAGGCCCACAGAAGCTGGACCCTGAGGCTCCACTGCTGAAGCACAGGTTTCTCAGCCCCTCCGCCCCATCTGCTTTGTTGCTCAGCCATCAGAGGGCTCTGGCCATTGGGTCAGATCACTGGCAGACACACAGCACAGTGCCAATCACCCTGAGACAGCAGAGAAATCATCCGAGCTGCTCCCAGATGTTGCTTGGCGCTAAGGCTCCAGAACCCCATAGTTATGTTCTAAAGTGTTTACTTTGAATTCTTGGCCAATTGTTTAGTTTTTCTTCTGTATCTAAAGTGGCATCTGGTGGGAGAGGAAATTATTGACTGTAGGTTGAGCTCTAATATACTGAACTCCAGTTAATTGAGTTTTTCATTTTGCTATACTGGAAAATATCCAAGAAGCTTTTTCATTGGTAGAAGCTCTGCCAGCAGCCTAAAGGCACCCAGTGAAACCGCCTTTAATCCCAGCGCTGCACTCAGAGAGTGCAGGTGGAGCTCTGTGTTCAAGGCCGGAGACCTTGTGAGACCTTGTCTCAAACAAATAAAGAAACAAATAAAGCAGAAATGGTGGCACACACCTTTAATTTTGGCACTCAGGAGACAGAGGTAGGTGGATCTCTGTGAGTTCAAGGCCATCCAGGACTGTATAGAGAGACCCTTGTCTCAAAATAAAATAAAATCCAAAGACACATACCATAACGAGGACAGTAATCCTCTGAGTCTGCACTGCTGTAGAAACCCTAGGACCTAACCAGAGTAAAGCAAATATTTCCACTTTAGAGTTCACATTTGCTTCAATCCTAGGATACTCACGCTATACACATACACACACCACACCACAAAACATACATTCATGCTCACACACATGCACATACATACCACACACACATACATACATACCCACATACACACACATACATATACACACCACACCACATACACACACCACACAACATATACACACCACAAGCACACCACAGATACAGACACATACACACATATATATGATGTGGGATTCCCCTCTGTATGCTGTGAACACCATTGGTTAATAAAGAATCTGTCTTGGGCCTACACAGAGCAGACTAGAGGTAGGTGGAGAAAACTAAACTGAATGCTGGAAGAAAGGAGGTGGAATCAGAGACACCATGTAGCCCCGTAAGCCACAGTCACATGCAATACACAGATTAATAGAAATGGGTTAAATTAAGATGTAAGAGCTAGCCAATAAGAAGCTAGAGCTAATAGGCCAAGCAGTTATTTAATTAATACTGTTTCTGTGTGGTTATTTTAAGTTTGGGCAGCCAGGAACAAGCAAGCAGTCTCCTACAATATATGTACACACATATACCACACACACACCACACACACACCACTCACACACAGGAGTCTGGGGTCCAGACCGATCGATCATACTATGTCAGCATTAGTGTCTTGAACATGTATGTGGTCACTCAACATATGTAGAATATTTTCCCTTATTGGTAAGGCAGTTTTTCTCTTCCTTGGCTTTATATAATGGCACTTACATGTTTTACAGAATTATACATGTGACTTCTAATATTTAAGATGACACTCACATTTCTAATATCACTTTTGCACTTGAAATCATTATTAATTGCTGAATCTATAAAGTGTCATAATCACCGAGAAAGAGGCTCGAGACCAACAAAAGAAGAGCGGTTGAGTAAAGCCCAGGTTTCTCAATTATTTTTGCTGTGTCTTTTATGAGATCACATTTTTTCCTAGTGAAGAAAAATCAATATTATTTATGAAACCATCAAGCCCTTACCCTACTTGAGGAAACAGTTTTCTGACAGGCAAATTCCCAAAACAATTTATTTCAATGGCAAAAGACTATATACTCTACTACTGCTTTCAGAGACTAAATAAGTCATATGAATATGTATTTACGGCAAAGTTATTAGTAAAATAAACTACACAAAAACAAACACAGTGAATATATAGTTATCCAGAGAAGAAAAAAATAGCATTTGTTTATAGCTGATCTTCCTTTGTTAAAATGATTTTTATAACAAAATTCATTAATTTTTTAATCTGGGATTTTCAGTCTGCTAACTTAGACAAATGTACAGCAGATCAATTCCTTTTTGGATACTTTAACTAGCTGTTGGTGTTTTTAACTTAGGATTTATACCCAAATCTTTCATGTTCTTCAGAAAAGTCATTTTAAGTGATGCTTCCTTGTGGTGTTATTGAATCCAAAATAAAAGCAAGACACAAATTTAAAGACTGCTCTAAAGCTATAAAATGTCTCCCAGGAAAAGTGTGCCCGGTGAACCCCACCATGCTGCTTTCCCACCGTTTCTTGGGAAGGAGGTCTCACTTCCTTGACAAGGCTCACTGAAACCAGTGATCCTCCAGCCTCAGACACTCAAGGGCCACAGCAACAGGTGCCCACTGAGCCCAGCTTGCATTTTAGGTCAGACTTGATGAAAATATTTTATTGTTTTGAGATTTAGATAAAATGTAAGCAAGAAAGAAATTT